CGTTGGACAAGCACCAAATCGATAGCAAAACAGTTGGCGATCAACATCTGAAGAGCTACTACTAAGAAACCGGAACCAAACAGACGATATGCCTCGTTAAAAGATGAAGAAGACTCCAGAGGTGTGATACCAAAACACAAATTATAAATTTGGATTTAAAATGCAGCACTCGACCATCAAGCATATTCAACAATAGAAGTAACATTTGAAACTAAGTAGTCGGTAGGGCGATTTTCTGAAACGTGGCACAAGCTTTTGACAAGATCTCATATAAAAGTCTCCTCTCCGAATTAAACACTAACTTTGCAACAGAATACTCAATATTTACTGAGTCGGATCGGGGAAACAAAACGTTCCAACTCAAACTCAATTCTTACACAAGGGAAAACACAAGCTTCAAGCGGGAGTGCCGCAGGGAAGTTTTCGTGGGTTTAAACCTGTATCTCGTCTACACTGCAGTTCTTCCAATCTCAACTGAAATAGTTAGCGGAACGTTTGCCTAGGACACTGCTCTTCTGGCATTCAAACCGGATCTTGAACTTGCGACTTCACTACTACTAGTAACATAACATAATGGACTGATGAGGACATGAGGACTGACCTCTTCAGGATGGGACTGAGCGATTAACCGACCTGCAGGGGTTGCAAATTAGAGGACGAAACTACTCTGCATGTTATGTGTCACTGCACGTCATATGCAACAGGTAGACGAAGACTCCTGGGAGGGGATGAAATTCCACCAGACCAGATTATGAACCCCCCTCAAGATTCTTCTAGAATTCATTGAATATACAGGGATAATGAGGGAGTAAAATTACAAGGTCACAATAGGACAGAAATGACCGCGGTGCAAGGCTAAACACCACCTCGGCGGTGAGGAAAGGGTTTTAGTGGGTAAACAGCTTACCTGGAGTCCCACACAACCCAGAGCGACAGACCACCAGCTCTGGGAGTGCATAAAAGAGCATTTCCCAAACCTCACCAAAAAAAACATAAAATAAACAGTAACGACCTCCTGACCAAGTCATAAAAAAACTGGCGAATAAAGCGTGATTGAGGCAAGCCTACTTAAGACTTATAATCTTGAAGACTCGCATATTCACTTGGAGAGTGCATACCACAGAAGATGTCGTCAAGAACCTCCGTTATCATCTCAATAAGAAGTTAAATTGGAAATGTATATGGAATAAGTGTAAGTCATTGCCACGAACAATGAGAAAAACGTACTGGTTGCTTGCCAAAATATCTGCTCTGTCGCAGCTAAGGATTTATAAACATCAACCAACGCAACCGCTCGATTCATGAAATTAAAAAAAATGTTTTGTGACAATATCTGAAGACCCGGGGTGAAAAACCATATATGCGCATCCGATTTACTCTTGAGAAGAATGTTATAGCATAACCAACTTCTATTAGAATCAAAAAAGGTACAAAATAAACCAAAAAATTGTAAGCAAAATGTTTAGCTTGTATTTGACAATATGAGTTGATGGAAAGTAAGGAAATAGTCGCTAAGATCATTATTAGCTTGAACTTTCGTCTCAAGCAAGTTTTCATAGAACTGTACCAAAGAACCTGTAAACGCATAGAAACAATAGTTGTTCATAGTGTCTACTTCATTCCTGGTTCATTGCTACTGCTTCAAAGTTTTCTTCTTTCGTTCTACTACTCGTCTGTATTTCTTCTTTAGAAAATTAAATTTTTGGTTTTTCCATAAATGAACTTGCAAAAAAATTGAACACTCAGTTTTTACGATAAAAACAGATCTAATAAAATAGAGTTGCCTACAATGAAATTAAACAATAGCCTAGACCTTTTCTTTATTTTTTTGAATTTTTAAACGTTGATGATAAATTGAGAATTCTCTCTAACAGAATTACACACATGGATGACTGCAAAAACATGCAAGGGTATTAATTATGTTTGGATGATAAAACATTAAATTGACATTTATGACTGATAGTAAGATTAAGTAGTTTAAAAAATGTATTACATTTTTCTATTTAATATGAAAGCTTTATCCATTCAAAGCTTTGAATTTTTAAACGTTGATGATAAATTGAGAATTCTATCAAACAGAATTACACGCATGGATGACTGCAAAAACATGCAAGGGTATTAATTATGTTTGGATGATAAAACATTAAATAGAAATTTGAGACTGATGGTAAGATTAAGTAGTTTAAAAAATGTATTACAGTTTTATATTTAATATCAAAGGTTTATCCATTCAAAGCTTAAGTGATATTCATTTTTAAACCCAGGATTAGTAGGATTTAATTAATTTGAAGCCGAGAACAAACAAACACGTAAGGACGATTAATTGTTTATGATATAATGATAGAAAATCATGTTGTTATTTAGTGACGATAAAGGTGAGTTTCAAACACGCGATGTCCACGTTTTGAATAAACGTGACAAAAAATGACGTTCAACTCATCCGATTTACTCGA